TGTTTCAGGGTTCCAAGGTCAAGGCCAAGGTCACACTTGCTATATATAGAAAATCATCAACTGATTCAATTTAAACACTTAGCAACTTCATTCTTTCATGGATTTTGGTCAAACTTTATGCAAAGGTCAAATATGAGTATACTTCGGACATTGTTATGTTTCAGGGTTCCAAGGTCAAGGCCAAGGTCACACTTGCTATATATAGAAAATCATCAACTGATTCAATTTAAACACTTAGCAACTTTATTCTTTCATGAATTTTGGTCAAACTTTATGCAAAGGTCAAGTATGAGTATACTTTACTCCAACAATGTTAGAGGTTTTACACGGCGAAAAACTTTTGACAGGCGCCGCGTAACCTCTAACTGCCCATAGCTGATTTTCCCGATGCTGTCTATCACATTTTCAAAGTTCGGATTAAGAAAGAGTATATCGTGTTTACATACATTTAAATGGTCAAAAGGGTCCAATAAATATTCCTCTCCATAAATCCATGATTATATGAGAAAACTTTCATGTCAAAGACATAAATAATGAGTTTTTCCTCATTCGAAGCGAAGCAGACAGCATTTGCCATGATTTTTCCGGTTAATACAAAAATGGATTACATGTAATGTTTCACAAGCGGAATACAAACAAACTCCGTATCATTTCGTTCCGTTTGAATTCCCCACTGATATTTTGTATTAATCCAGAAGCCATGTTTTAAATGTAGGTCAGAGATGTGCTACAACGACATGGACATGTATTTTGAGTGTTCTATTCCGTAATATACTATATATTTGTGTCTATGACATATATATGAGATCTATATTATATAAACCGTGAGTAGACATCGTTTTCATGAACTGTTAACCACTTATGTGAGTTTTTTCAAGCCGATTTTGTTCCGCCCGGATTTCGGGCAAAAACTGCATCAAAGAATTAGTGCTTCGGAAATGAGAGGTCGCAGTCGGCAAAATCATATCCGATTGAAAAAAGGCCGACCAGCGGCCTCTCATGTTATGGGAGTAGAGTATACTTCGGACATCATTGTGTTTCAGGGTTCCAAGGTCAAGGCCAAGGTCACACTTGCTATATATAGAAAATCATCAACTGATTCAATTCAAACACATAGCAACTTCATTCTTTCATGGATTTTGGTCAAACGTTATATAGGTCAAATATGGGTATACCTCTGACATCCTTGTGTTTCAGGATGGTAACATACAGAAAAAAAACCATGAATATTAAAATCAACTTATCATCTTTAAGTGTAGTACCTTGTGTGTGTGCATGATTCAGGGTACAAAGATCAAAGTGGTTGTAACTGTTTATAGAACACTGAAACTAATTTCACATGGGAGCGGGGGCATTTATGTCTTACAGACATTTTTTATTTTTTATATATATATTCTTTTAGCATATCAAATCAAACATTACCATGAGTTCTACATTTTACAGTAACTATTTTTGCATATGGTAATCGGGGGAAGTGTGGGGGGATAGCGAGAGTGTGCCATCGGCAATGTGGTTCTAGTTTCCTGATCTATTATCTAAGATGGGACATCCTGTAATGGCCCAATTACTATTAGCACTTTTTACAAAAATAATTTAAATAGATGAGCTATGCTGTTCTCCTTCAGCTCTTGTATCTTTATTTAGTCTGGAGCATCCTTGGTCCAAGGGGAATCAATTTTGTATAAATGATTGGCGTGGCCCCCCTGGGGTCAAAGGGGAAGGGCTGAATAGAAGAAATAGATGTTAACTTTTAAAATCCTTCTCCTAATAAAGGGATTAAGGGATTTCATCTCAATTTGGTCTGGAGCATTCTTGGGCCAAGGGGACTTAGTTTTGTTTAAACGTTGGGTGTGGAAATAGAGGTAATACCTTTATGATAATAATAATAATAATTAAAGGTTCTTATATACCGCTTTATCACAACCTAGTTCGTAGGTCATCTCAAAGCTGTTCACAAATCATTATCCATGGTTATAGGGCCTTTGCAACTAGCCAATATCTTTCTCAACTCCCTTGGGAGCTTACAGCCAGAGCTGCCATTTCTGCGCTAACAGCTAGCATTCAACAATTCTAGAGCTGCTCAACGACGTACTCATTTACAGCTGATTAGACTGGAACAAGCGGACTATCTTGCTCAAAGATATAACACAGTACCATGGTCTGGAGCATCATTGGGCCAAGGAGACTCAATTTTGTATAATGGATGGGTGTGGTCTCCCTGGGGGCAGAGGAGCGAGGCCTAATAAGGTAAAAGGAAAAACTTTTAAAATCCTTCTTTTACCCAAATTTGGCCTGGAGCATCCTTTTGTAATAGTCGTCTTTTATCGTGGATATACGACAACTCCTGGGTTCTTTTCTCAGTTAATTTATTACGTAAGTAAAAACCCTGTAACATGAAATACATCATATTACTACACATATAACATTTATACAATCACATAAGCTAAGACATGTCAAACAACTACCTGGCCGTAGCCAGTTACATAAGTTACAATAATGGAATACGTATTACAACTGTTACATTCAATCTATATATTATATAGAAATACAGCATAATTACAAATATATTAAAATACCCACCTCTTCAATGTGAAGAGGGTTTTCTCGGACAAAGTCCGCCGAGTCCTCAGTCTTACTCGTTCAATGTAAGCTATAAAAGGAAACAATATATATTAAAAACTTGCTTCTTCGAAATCACTTGTCTACTAAATTGACCACGCCCGATTTCTAAATTTACAAAGACTTTCAAAATATTAACTTTACTTTTAACAAAAATATTACGTTAATTAAATATATTATTGAATAGATACTATAATGAATTAAACTTATATTTATACGCGAGTACTTACATTATTTGCTTTTGGCTCTAGTGCCCGCTACCTCTTTTAATTCCTATGCTGGCTAGGTAAAGATATAGGTGTACAAATGTTCGCTGTGCTCGCTCTGGCCGCTCTGTTCAAAGTGACCAGTGCACCAGGTAAATTACCCTACATTCAATACTAGGTATTCTATACATAGACAATACGTACTGGACAAACAGGTTTACAACACATTACATCACATCCGCTCAGTACCTTACTCGCATTTACGCGTGCTATTTCCGCGCACGCGCTAAAAGTTTTGCCGCAATGCGTGACGTACAAAATTACACGGAAGGCTGATTTCCGTTACATACGAACGCGTATAGCTAAATACCACAAATATATTAAAAGTAATAATGACAAATAATGACACTACTACACTTTGGCCAAGGGGACTCAATTTTGTATAAACAGGGTGTTGCTCCTTTTGGGTGCAGAGGGGCAGGGATCAAAAGGAGAATTGGAGGTTTAAATCTTCAAAATCCTTCTTCTTCTGTAACATTGGCAGGATTTTATCCAAATTTGGCCTGGAGTATCCTTTGGCAAAGGGGACTCAATTTTGTATAAACAGAGGGTGTGGCCCCTCTGGATGCAGAGTTACGGGGCCCAATAGTGGACGCTAGCTCCTGTTTCGGTGTTAAATCGCCATATACACTTTCGTTGTGCATAACAGCGGGTCCGTCTCATACTCTCCTGACATCTTTTCTGGTGTTAAATCTGTATACCATGCAAGTTTATAGTCTGACTTTGGCCTTGCTCCACCATACAAATCACTAATCCAAGTTTCTCACCTCGGAAATGCCCGTTTCGGAAACGTATCTGTTTGTTTACATTTGTTTTACGTGCCAGCTTTGTCTGCCAAGCTGGGCCCAATTAACTGTCTTCATTCACCATAGTCAGCTGGTTTATCTGTGAATGTGGCTTGTCTGTTGTGATGTATAAGATCATCAATATTGGAGGCCATAGTTACACAGTACACCTTTGTCACCAATTTTGTAACAGTTTATGTTTTTCTCTCTATCACATTGTTAGCTTATGCCGTGGTGCGGCATCTGCCGTCCGCCCGCCGTCCATCCTGCGTCAACTTTTTACTTTAAACAACTTCTTCTGAATAACCAAGAGGCTCAGGGGGATGAGTTTGGCCAGTAGCATGCTGGGATGAAGGGCTTCCAATTTTGTTCAAATGAATGACCTTTGCCCATTTTCAATGTCACAGGGGTCAAATATGTTAAAAACTTTAAACAACTTCTTCTGAATAACCAAAATGCCCAGGGTGATGATACTTGGTCAGGGACATGCTGCGATGAAGATCTACCAAGTTTTTCCAATTGAGTGACCTTGACTTATATTCAAGGTCACAGGGTCAATTGTCTTAAAAAACATTTATTCAACTTCTTCTGAAAAACTAAAATGCCAAGGGTGAAGATATTTGGCCAGAAGCAAACTGGGATGAAGGGCTATCAAGTTTGTTCAAATGAATTACCTTAACCCATATTCAAGGTCACAGGTGTCAAATATGTGAAAATCTTTCAACAACTTCTTCTGAATAACCAAGAGGCCCAGGGTGATGAGTTTGGCCAGTAGCATGCTGGGATGAAGGGCTACCAAGTTTGTTCATTTTCAAGGTCACAGGGGTCAAATATGTTAAAAACTTGAAACAATTTCTTCTGAATAACAAAAATGCCCACTGGTGATGATATTTGGCCAGAATCATGTTGGGTTGTAGGCCGGGTTACCAACTTTGTTCAAATGAATGACCTTCACTCATATTCAAGGTCACAGGGGTTAACTGTCTCAAAAAAACTTTAAACAATTTCTTCTGAATAACCAAAATGCCCAGGGTGATGATATTTAGCCAGTAGCATGCTGGGGTGAAGTGCTACCAAGTTGTTAAAATCAGTTACCTTGACATTTATTCAAGGTCACAGGGTTCAAATAAGTTCAAAATCTTTAAACGACCTCTTCTTTATAACCAAAAGGCCCAGGATGTTGATATTTGGTCAGTAGCATGCTAGGATGAAGGGCTACCAAGTTTGTTCAATTGAATGACCTTGAACTATATTCAAGGTCACAGGGGTCAATTGTCTCAAAAAAACCTTTATTCAACTTCTCCTGAATAACTAAAATGCCCAGGGTGATGATATTTGGCCAGTAGCATGCTGGGATGAAGGGCTACCAAGTTTTCCTGAATAAAAGCGTGCTTGGATGAAGGGCTATCAATTTTTCATTTGAATTACTTTGACCCACTTTCAAGGTCACATTTAGTCAAATATGTATAAAACATTTAAATGACCTAATCTCAATAAACAAAAGGTCTAGGGTGGTGATATTTTGTAAGTTGCATGCTGAGATGAAGGGCTATAAAGTTTGTTTAACGTAATGACCTTGTTTCGACTTTCAATGTCACAGGGGTTAAATGTTTTAAAATCATTTAACAGGTTCTTTTGAATGACTTAGTCATTAATAGTGATATTTTGCCAGTAGCTTTAAGGTTTCAAGTGTGAGATTGATACCAGGTGAGCGATGCAGGCCCATTGGGCCTCTTGTTCTGGGGTCAGCATCACTTTGGCTTTTATATTCTATATTGTTTAACTAATATACTGTGATTCTAATACATTTATTAGACAGCACAAGCATGAATAAACGGCACATTTCATGGTCATACATGAGTGGAATGCAAATTATTATGTGGGCACTCAGTAATATCAGGTGCCGGCGTAAAGGCTCATGCAGTCAGTTAACATACAATGGACGACGCTCGTTGCTGTGAGGATGACCAACTGCAGGTCCTGGCATTTTTTGGCGTCCTTGCTGCCCTTCCCTGCGCACTCTCCGACGCACACTGGCATACCTGACGACAACTTGTGCATGTCATCCACGCCACAGCCTCCACTGTCACAGTACGACAGTCCCGAGTAACTCGAACAATGTTCCATGCTTGCTCTCACCTGTTGACTACTTTCAGTACAAGGTCCGCTGCTCGAAAGAGCAAGTCCAAGTCCAGTGTCATGCAAAAATTAATGTTAAATCCAAACGAGTTGATTGGGATATTACAGGGGAATATTTAATTACCTTACCCCACAAATCCCCACCCCTTGGGCCAGAAAATTATGCCTTAATGATTTTCAATCACTGGCGTCAACAAGGTTTGGGGAGTCAAGTCCCAACCTCTCTTGAACTACCCAACCCCCAGAGACTTTTTAAACACCCGACCAAAATATACCCCCCCCCCCCCAAGATACTTTTTATAGCCTGACCAAAATGTACCCCCCTATACAAAAATCTTATGTTGCTATATTTTTAATTCAAAAGAGTTAAGAAATTGATCAGGCATAAAAAGTATTCAGAGTACAGACCCTGGACCGTTTTTCTTGTCCATTTAAACGCAAACGCAACACAAACGGAACGCAAACGCAACGGAAACGCAACGCAAACTCAACGCAACGCAAACGCAACGGAAACTCAACGCAAACGCATACAGACCGTTTGGTTAAACACGCTCCTAAAACGCAGTTCATAGCAGACAAATAACGGACTTAGATTTAGATGTACTTGCTCGCGGAAGCGTGTCGGTCTCTGACCCTAACTCTGACCTGTATTTACCTATACAGCGCTCGCTTGTTATTTGCACAGCAGCGAATGCAGATGTACTTATAGGCAACATTTTCCCCGTCAGCACCAACAAAATAATTTGAAATGATGATTTGTCCCCCGATTGTTTTCGTGAATATTGATATTTCATTTTGAAATGGAATTAAACTTCTAATGGCATCCGTTTGGAAATTCAACAGTACATTACATTTAACATCCAATCACTAAATCTACACGACGTAAAAATACATTCTTTTTTATGAATTCATAAGATTAAAAGTATATTTGATGTTGGTGGTTTCTCAGTTATCTTTTATTTTAATTTCTATATTTTCCCCAAATATTATTTCAAGGTGAAGTTACGGGAATAGTCTTGAACAATGGTTCTTCGACATCAGCAATACATATGGATACGTCTAGTGGGTAGTTCATTTTTTTAGTCTCAACTTCTGAATTTGTTGCTAAAAAAATATTTAATCAATTTGACGAAAAATAATAAACAACCCAAAATAAATAACGTACGTGTAATTGTTTGTTTTTATTTAAACTAGGCGATCGCAAATGTTCAAAAGGAGATGAAATATGAAATATTGGATATGAATATCATCATATGTATAAAACAAGTGTATGTGATGTGTTTGCATACAGTATTATTCCTGTATTATCTTATAAATCCAACTGAAATGCTGCATGCGAATTCCGTGTAATTATTGTTTTTTTCTCCTCTTAAAATCGTCCTTCTCTACTTATATCTCAAACAGGTATAATTCTTATGATATTCTCTTTAGTGGTATTATTTGATAATTATAATCAGTATTTATATGAATTATATTGAAGCCGGAGCGTTAGTTATATGTATCTTATCTGTACATCTTACAACACAACATACATGTATACATTCTATGCACCCTGTTACGCTTAATCATACTCATTACTGTACCCACGGACTCAAATAATCTAATTTCGTGCTGTACCCTCAAGTTACACATTTTCATTTGTCTGAGTGATGAAAACATAAACTGAAATCTGAATTACTTGTGTAATTCCCTCCTTAAAACAGCCTTGAACAGTTTTTTTATTGCTTTCTCTTGACAGTCATTTTGAAAAGTATATTGCGCAAACAGCACTGAATTAACTATCCTAAACAATAGCGAATTAATCCCAACTATCATCTGGTCTTTGCTTTTACCTGGCCTTACATTTATTAGCCCACCATCATCTGATGGTCGGCTATTCAAATCACCCTGCGTCCGTGGTCCGTGGTCCGTCCGTCTTCCGTCGTCCGTCCCTTAACAATTCTTGTTATCAGTATTTCTCAAGAAGTACCAGAGGGATCTTTCTCAAATTTTATATGTAGGTCCCCCTTGGTCCTAAGCTGTGCAGGGCATTTTTTGAGACTGATCGGATAAACAACATAGCCGACAGGCAGCCATCTTGGATTTTGATATTGAAAGTTGGTTATCACTATTTCTTTGGAAGTACCAGAGGGATCTTTCTCAAATTTTATATGTAGGTTCCCCTTGGTCCTGAGCTATGCAGGGCAACTTTTGAGACTGATCAGATAAACAACATGGTCGACAGGCAGCCATCTTGGATTTTGATAGTGAAAGTTTGTTATCGCTATTTCTTTGGAAGTACCAGAGGGATCTTTCTCAAATTTCATATGTAGGTTCCCCTTGATCCTTAGTTGTACAGGGCAGCTTTTGAGACTGATCAGATAAACAACATGGCCAACAGGCAGCCATCTTGGATTTTGATATTGAAAGTTTGTTATCGCTATTTCTCA